TTATTTTTATTGTCATGTAGAATTATTAAGAATATACCATGATTTGCTTATCCGTTCTAATGTTTTTCAATACTTGCTTTGTTCCACTTTTTGACTATTGTGAATAAAAATAATATAAACATTTTTGTATATCTCATTGCTGGACAGATGCCCTCATAACTTTTGTGTATATGCCTAAGTGTTGAATTTCTTAGTCATAGGTTGGCATATATTTAGTTCTTTTAGATAAAATGATTTAGACCATTTATAAAAAGTTACTTATAAAGTTTATTTCTAACCTCACCAGTGGTTTATGTGAGTGTGTTACTCCACATCCTTGCCAACACACAGTATTATCATTTATATTAGTCTAAAGACCGTCTGGATGGTATGTGTTTGTATATAATTGTACATTTAATTTCCATTTCTCTAATAACTAATGATGCTTATTCCTAATTTTTTTTCATTTTTATATCGTCTTCTATCTAGTGCATGTTTTTATGATTTTTATGATTTTGTGATTATGGTCATTATTTATTTTTAGTAGCTTAATTGCAGTATAATCAATATACAATAAATTTCACATACTTAGGCTGGAAATAGTAGCTTATGCCTGCAATCTCAGCAGTTTGGGAGGCCAAGGCGGGAGGATTGCTTGAGGTCAGGAGTACGAGTCTAGACTGGGCAACATAGAAAGACTCTGTCTCTACGAAAATAAATAAATAAATAAATAAGAAAAATTAGCTGCGTGTGTTGGAATGCACCTATAGTCCCAATTGCTCAGGAGGCTGAAGCAGGAGGATGGCTTGAGATCATGAGTAGGAGCCTTCATGAGCTATGATGTTGCCACTGCACCCTAGCCTGGGCAACAGAGTAAGACTGTGTCTTTGAAAAAAAGAAGTAATTTGATGTATTTCCATATGTATACATATGTGAAACTATCACCTCAACAATATAGAGAACACATATCACCTCAAAAAGTATCCTTTGGCTCTTATGTAATACTTTCCTCTTGCTCATCCCCATAGTTATGTGTTACACTGTATTCTGTTTCTACAGATTCACATTGTCTACTGTTTCATAGAAATAGAATCATACAGTGTATACATCTGCTGTATGGATTTTTCACTGAGCATAATTATTTTGATATTTATGTTGTTAAATGTATTAATAGTTAACTCCTTTTTATTTTTGAGTCTTCCTATCCTTAAACAAGGTATATGTCTTGTAGCTCAATATTCTTAAATTACATTCAGCAATGTTTCACAGTTTTTAGTATGCAGGTGTTGTACATTTTTATGGGAATTCCCCCCAAGTATCCTATTTAGGTTAAGTTTTTTAAGCTATTATAAATTGTATTTCCCAATTTCAATTTTTACAGAGTCAGTGAACTCAGGTTTTAAAATGGCACAATGATTGATGTACTCTCACCAAACATGATCCTGAAAACTGAGAATAATGTCCAAATAAAGGTGGCCCTGTTATGTTGTCAGCGTAGTAATGATCCCTACTGTATATGCTGTCATAAATTCATATTATCTCAAAACAAAGCTAACAGCAAAATCCTAAACTCCTATTTAGTTGAGGCAATTTTACATGTGGCAAAAAGGAAGCAAGATCATATAGCTTTCTCCTAGCTCAGCTTTTTCCAAAAGTAAAATTGAAAAAGAATAGACGTCAAGTAAGCAAAGGATCATTTATAAATCACTTCTCTCAATTAAGATTTGCATAAAATCTGGATTAAGTTGTTTTCATGTTTATATTCTCCAGTAAGGATTTATCTTGCAACAACTTTGGTTGTTCAATGGAAGCAGCTCTATGCACACGAAGCAAATTAAAAAGATGGAAACCTTTTGACTTCATGGAAACTGAAAAATCAAAGTAGTTCTTGTTTTTGGTTTTGTTTCTTATTGTCTGTTTTTCTGTTGCTGATTAAAAATCCATCTTTCACAATGAGGTTTATCTATAGTAATAGCATAATGCTTAAAAATAAACACTACAAAATACTAAAAAGCTTATGCAGGAGTCAGCTTTTATATAGGGATGAATGGTACATTTCATTTCCAAATACTAAATTGTAGATCAAGGTCTCTCCTCTCAAGAATCTTATTATTTCAATGTGTTCCTGAAATTCCCCCTAAGAGGGTTACTTTTCTAAGAACCTTAGGAAAAAACAGTGTAAATTAAAGTATTGCTATATTATTTGAATGAGATAAGACACTAAACAATTATAATAATTAATATATTAGTAAAAATATGGAGTCTAGACTAGCTAATGCCATGGTCAAAGGACTTTAAAGGAATGGACCGTCGGATTTTAAAAGGAACTTGTAAGGTTAACCTGAATGAGTCACTGAAGTGTTGGTTTTCATTAGCTAAGGCAGTTTCAGAGCATGTGTGTGTGTGTCTGTGTCTGT